TTTCAGCCACTGCATCATGCCATGTTATAGCCCCAAAACCAAACCTTTTTCTCTCTACTCTGGATACTGCCCTCCTCCTTCCAGAAGCTCCTTCAAGAACGTTTTTACTTTGGATACTTTCGAAACGTGGGAACATTCCTCGTGTGATGTAGTCCTTTTCAAAATTCTTGTCAAAATACAAAGGATTCAAACCTGAAGTTGGTGATAAGAATCAAGAGGCATTTTTTTATCATAGCTATCCAACAGAACTTTCTGCCACAGTGGAATGTTAGTATCTACAGTGTCCAATATGGCAGCCACTAATCACATTAGCTTTTGAGCACTTGAACGGTGGTGGGTGGCTAGCGTGATTGAGGATGTGAACAATTATCTAATTTTAATTCATTTGAATTTAAATAGCCACATGTGGCTACTGGCTACCATACTGGACTGTACAGTTCCAAATGTCCTTGAATACTCAGAGATGCCCGGATCATGCAGATAGGTGCTAACGACCACTCAATGTCAGATCTGCTAAGTCTCCGCACTTTAACCGCTTTGAGATTTTTCAGTTATAAGTTAGGGCCAGCTTCAGAAAGGAATCGTTCTTCCACTTGCCTCCGCTAATATGATGGTGATAGGATATCACTCTTCTCTTTCAGGTCTTCTATGGAAACTCAGACCGAACCTCCACAGTCCAGAACCTGCTGCGGCCCCCCATCATCTCCCGTTTTATCCGGCTGGTCCCACTGGGCTGGCACGTCCGCATTGCCATCCGCATGGAGCTGTTGGAGTGTGTCAGCAAGTGTACCTGAAGCCTGTCTCAGCTCGGCGCCTGCCAGGGGGTAGAGGGCACAGGAGGGACCGCGGGGGAGCCCTGACATATCACTGTGATGAAAGGGGCTGCATTTTACAAGCTCTTTTCAATACAGAGCTGGGGGGTAGAGCGTATTTCTTTTTCTTCTTTTCTTTTTTTTTTAAAGATATAGTTTCCAATTTCAGCGGAAGAAAAAGAAAAATGAACATATTCCCCACTCAGGGCTAAGGAAAATAGGAACAAAGAAAATGTCCCTAAAAAGAATTTTCATACAAAAGCCTAAGTAGCAGGGGTAATTTGCTGCTCTCCGTTTTTGTTTTGTTTTTCAGTCTCAGTGACACTGTGAAAGGTGCAGTCCCAGGGGAACACAAAACAGCCCTGATATTTTGAAAATTCTTTTGCATTACTATGTTCAAAACAGGAACAGAGTTTCATAAAGCCTTGCTTTGAATGCAAGGGGGGCGGGGCGAGCTTGCAGTTTTTCCTCGTTTTCATTAAATCATGGTTATTTAGGACTTTAGAGCACCTGGTACCAGAGTGAAAGGTTTCGGGGATGACTGGGTGGCGGAGATGAGGTTGGATGGGAGCCCAGTCTCCTGAGAGGCGTACACGACCAAGACCAAACACGCCAGGTAGGAGGGCCTCCCTTGCTCTGAACTTTCACCCCCATGCACACAGGGATTGGGGGCGGCGGATGGGGGAAGGGTCCATTCCAAAGCTCTCATATACGCTCCATTCTGCAGCCCATTCAGGCAAATTATCCCAGTTTGAGTGTGGTCACTATTTAGGTGAAAACGCAGGACAGGCTGCGCGTGTAAGTAGCAAAGTTTTCTGATATGTATGAACCCCAGTTGACTAGAACACACCAGAATTTCCCTTTACCTAAGGCTACCATTGTTCAACAAGCTTAACACTTGGAAAACAGTTGGCCCAAGAGCTATCACTGGCTACACGGAGAAGGCCCATCAGCTGAGTCCAGGCTTGGTACAAAGTGGTCAGGACCTACATCCTAGGAAAGGCGATGTGGCTATGGCCCTGGTGAGCCCAACCTTCCAACCTCTGACCCCTAGCCTTGCAACACACAAACTGGCCTGCTCCTGATGCTGAAGACTCCTAGGGAAGAAAGGGGCCTGGAATAGGCCTAGCCTTCCCCTCCTGGAGAAGCCCATCAAGCTTGGGGGACGACAGTCTAAGTCTCCTTTGTTGTTTATAAGTCAGCCTGAGTTTTCAGGCGCTTCCGTAGGACAGGCTGGTGACATGGCAGGTGGGCAGGAGAGGATTTGAAAGTAGGAGCTGAAGGGAGTGGAATCAGAGGACAGGGCCTTCCAACGAGAATGGGTAATCAATCCAAGACTGTCCTGGCCCTGATGCAGTGCAGCCTTTGCTAGCATCTCTGAGTAACTTTGTTTTTAAATGCCAAGCCAAGTCAATGAACTCATACTAACACGATCCTGGCATCACATTCATCTTCTTTGTGATTGGGCAGCCTCCTAAAAGCCCCAAATCTCTTCCCTGGTGTTTTTGGCTTAGAACAGCTTCATATCTAACCCAGCCTCTTTCTAATCCCCATGCTGTATACCTGAACCTGGAAAAATGCTTTTCCCTGCTCCATCTTCTCTCGAATATATACATATCAATTCAGGGTGGGGGTAGGGGTAGAATCCTTCTTTGGTCTTAGAACACATGGACAGATGCATTTTGAACAGAATGCCTGATTGGATAGTCTCACTGGGAAAGTTGAATGAACTTTTATCATAATATGCAGAGAAAAGCCTAAGAGTTCAAGTCCTCTACAATCAGCACTGTAGACACAGGAGGGAAAGTCAACTTAAGGGAAAGAAAGAATGAAACAGGGTGAAGCAGGGATAAAGTTTCTCCAAATAATTGTTCATGTTGGAAATGTTTTAGAAGTTTTATTAAGCTCACATACCATACAAATTTCACCCATGTAAAGTGTACAATTTCATGACTTTGCGTATAGTGAGTTGAGCAACCATTATTACAATCAATTTTAGAAAAATTTCATCACCCCAGAAAGAAACCCTGAACCCATCAACCATCACTCCCCCAACCCACTCGCCCACTCCAGCCCTAGGCAACCATTGATCTATTTCTGCCTCTGTAGCCAATTTGGACATTTTGTATAAATGGAATCATACAATACGTGGTCTTTTCTGTTTGGCTTCTTTCACTTAGCATAGTGTTTTCAAGGTTCATTCATGTCGTAGCGTGTGACAGTACTTCATTCCTTTTTCCGGCAGAATATCATTCCACTGTATGAATAGACCACATTGTATTTATCCATTCATCTGCTGATGGACATTTGGATTGTTTCCACGTTTTTTGGTTGTTGTGAATAATGCCGCTATGAACAACTGTGGACATGTTTTCATTTATGTTGGGTATATACCTAGGAGTGGAATTGCTAGGTCATATGGTAACTCTGTTTAACCTTTTGAAGAACTGTTGGATGATTTTCCAAAGTAGCTGCACTACTTTACATTCCCACCAGCAGTGTATCACGGTTCTATTTTCTCTACACTTGTTATTATCTGTCTTTTTGATTATAGCCATCCTGTGGTGTATGAAGTAGTATCTCATTGTGGTTTTGATTTGCATTTCCCCACGACTCATGATGCCAAGCATCTTTTCATTTGTTTACTGGCCATTTGTACATTTCTTTGGAGAAATATCTATTCAGATCCTTTGTCCATTTTAAAATCAGGCTGTCTTTTTGAGTTGTAAGAGTTCTTCATGCTTTAGATACAATTCCTTTATTGGACATATGACTTGCAAATATTTTCTCCTATTCTATGGGTTGTCTTTTTACTTTTTTTGATCTCACAAACTTTACTTTTGGCAAGCTAGGAGATACATATCTCTAGATTTATATACAAAGGCTGACAGAAAACAGTTGAGGTTAATCAGAGGCCAAGTGGCAGGAAGTGAAAACCATGAAGTGTGGATGCCCAGTGGGGGTTAATTTCAGGAAAGTCAGCAAAAAAGACAGCTCCTGAAGATAAAGTCTTTTTACTTTCTTGATGGAGTCCTTTGAAGCACGCAGTTTAAAATTTTGATGAAGCCCAGTTTATTTTTCTCTTTTTTGGCTTGTACTTTTGGTGTCATATCTGAGAAACCATTGCCAAATCCAGATCATAAAGATTTACTCCTATGTTTTCCTCTACGAGTCTTATAGTTTTTACCTCTTACATTTAGATCATTGATGTGTTTTAATTTTTGCATATGGTATGAGGTAGGAGTCCAACTTCATTCTTTGCATGTGGATATCCAGTCGTCCCAGCATCATTTGTTGAAAAAACTATCCTTTCTCCCTCTGAATGGCCTTGGCACCCTTACTGAAAAAATACAATTGACCATAAAGGTGAAGGTTTATTTCTAAACTCTCAATTCTATTCCACTGATCTCTGTATGTCTATCCTTATGAGAGTACCTCACTGTTTTGATTACTGTAGTTTTGTAGTGAGTTTTGAAATTGGAATATGTGCGTCTTCCAATTTCGTTCAAGATTGTTTTGGCTATTCTGTCTCTTGAATTTCCATATAAATTTTAGTAACAACTTGTCGTTTTTTGCAAAGAAGTCAGCTGAAATTTCACATTGGAAATTGTTGAATACTTCAGAATATAATAATCAATGAGATACTGACATCCCTAAAACGTTTATCTGCAGGTAATTTGTTTACAATAGCATATGAACTTTTTACTTCATAATTCATGAAAGAATGTGTAAAAAACTTTTATTGAGGGACATTTGAAGTCTAATAGATTTTTGCTATTAAACACATGAAGTATGCAGTATTATTTCTTTTGTGTGGGAAACTTTCAATTAAAAAAATATATATATATATAGTGTAGCAAAAACTCATTCTCTTACCTTATGTTAATATGTTTACTTTTATTTTCAGAAATGCTAGAGTGTGGTCTACACTTGTAGGAGATTTTTTAAAAATTGTGTTAAAATATACATAACATATTGCGGGAGATTTTTAAACAGCTAAATTAAATGCTATGAACAACAACAAAAAAGTGGCATTAAGTGTTGCCAAGATAAAGTCTGAGCTGATTTTGGTATTCAGTGTGGGAGGAGGTTGGACGAAACAAAGGTATTTCAAAATAAAGGTACTGCTATGAATCCAATCTCAGAACCCAGAAGATTGCATCCCTAAAGTGAGCCTTTGAACAGATGCTGACAGAAGCCCATCTTTTTGTCTACTTGGAGCGTAGCTGTTGAGGCCTGTGGACAAATGCACAGCTGTAACTCCAAACTACTAGTAACTCCAAGCTATGGTGGTTCTTAACCTGGACTTTACAGCGCTGATGTGAAGATCAAATACGATTAATGTATCTAAAGTGCTTAATGAGTTCTCTATAACTGGCAGTCAAGATTCAGTGACATTCCTTTTCAACTTCATAGAGCTGCCAACTGGGGCACAAATAACAGCAATAATGTCACATCTCATATTTATGGAGAATCTACCAAGTGCTTTGCAGGTTATCGTTTCATTAAATCCTTACAACAGCACTATGAGGTAGGTACTATTATTATTTCAATTTACAGATAAGGTAACTGAGGCATAGGAAAGTTAAATAACTTGCCTAAAGGCGCGCGAGATGTAGGTGATGGAGCTAGGATTTCACTCAAGCAATCTGACTCCAGATCCTGTGCTTTTCGCTAAGTCACCAGTTTTTGGACCTGGCATGACTTATTTCAATGACATGTTCTAATCTATTCTCAAATCAAATCAATTACCACCTGCTGAGGGATGGGAGGAAAGGTGGTACATGAACTCCCGTCATGAATCAATCCCACGGCAGCTTCTATACATGGAGACGCAGCAACCGCTCTGCTTGGCAGTGTTTAGGGGCATAGGGCTTTACAGTGAACATACTCAGCTTCAAATCCTAGCTGGCTGAACTTGGGCAGGTTAAAAGTCCACAGACCTCAGTTTCCTCATCTACAAAATAAACGTAAAACACTGGCATTGTGCCCAGCCGCAGTAAGAGCTATGAACATAAAAAAATGACAAGCCCCAGATACTTTGATTCGGTTTTGATAAAAAGTATAAAAAAATTGAAATCACAGGTTTACATGACTTAAGGAGAAACTTGGAGCAAAAAATTGGTGACAAAGTGCTTTTAAGAATGCAAAGCACTGGTTTTAGCTCCTATCCTTTGTTTAGAGAGATAAAGTTGGAGAATTTTTAGATATGTTATCACAAAACTGAAGTTCTTTCCCCCCATGGAGCATTTACCCAGTTGGTCTTATCCTTAAAGACAAAGTGAAGGCCAAGAACAAGTCAGTTAATTGGCGCTCTGCGCCCCCGCCCCCCGCTTTTGTAAATGAAGTTTTACTGGAACACAGATACTACGCCCATTCATTCACACGTGATCTATGCTGCATTTGCACTACAAATGGCAGAGTTGCATGCTGGCAGAGTTGTTAAGTCAGAGAGACCCTCCCTAATGGTCCACAGAGCCTCAAATATTTACTATCTGGCCCTTTGTAGAACAAGTTTGCCAACCCCCCGGCTCTAAAACACAAAGAAATCCTTATTAAGCTGTCCGTCTTTGCCTTCCCCACAGCACTGAACAGGAAGCTAGCGTCTCTGCCCATCCTCCCCAAACCAACAAGTGAGCATCTAGCAACATGCAAAGGAGACAACACTCAAGTGTAAAAGAAACCAAAGTTTTCAAAATGCCAGAAGGGGAAAAAAAGCTTTATAAATACAAAAAAAATTATCAACATCATTAAATAACAGGATTTGCCCTGCTTTACATTAATTTCGGTCCCTTAAACTGATTCCAATTTCAACGGTCCATTATCCCTCATTCGAATTCAAATGAGTTCTTTACAAAGAAACTAGCTGCAGAGCTGCAGAGCTGCTCACAGTCCGAACTGGAGGGACAACAGTGCTCAATGTTGGGATGGCCTGGCAATCACTTCAGTCAGTGCAAAATCTGCATTTTATTAAAGACATTTGGGAAGATCCATTCAAAAATACATTGTGCTCAGTAAAAATTAACCATTTCATGCTGATAATTAAGGTTACAACGGAATAGATATTTGTATAATATTTACAGCAACAATAGAAATCTTACAGAAGTTCAGAATGGAAGAATACATGCCAGAAAAAACTTGATAAGATGTACCAACACATGTTACAAAGTTATAGAAACACTTTACAAATGGTTCATAATTAGCTTGTGAGGAATTTAAATATTCAACACTTTAAATTCAGTTTGGATTCAAAAATGAGAAAGGTTAACACCACAGCACACCCTTGCCACAGTAAAAAGTATGGAATTACACTTTGTAGTATAGATTATAAAGTCTGCGCAATTAAGAATTACCACTGATTCGTAATCTACCACAAAATTTAGATGTTACATCATTCTGGCTTATCTCTATTTTTGTTTTCATGCATGAGCAGGGTTCTCAAAGTCACCCAGCCCTGTGTCTTCCCAGATACCCCCTTCAAACTTCCTAGAGATTGAAGAAGCTCGAAATAGTCTTCTAAGTATATACAGAATAACTACCTGAATTCAAAATGGCACAAAGCAATTCTTGGAGATAGGAATTAGGGACCACTATTTTGTTTGGTTTGTTTCTGTTAATCAATCCGAGTTTACAGTGAGAATTGACTTCCTGAAATCACAGCATTACCCCTCCAGCCTGACTCCATCAGTGACCAAACAAGGAGAGGGAAATAGACTGAGAGAGGACTGTATATGTGATCAATCATGTATCTCTAGTGAAAACGGATTTCGTACAAGCTTTGCTTTCCATTTTAGAAAATCTAAGCCATTGTGGAGAACTTAAAAGTTCTCTAAGAGGAAAAGCATCATTTTTTTTTTTTTTTGGAACCTTTGAATGCTTTGTAATTGGAGCTTTTGACAACTCTGGCGATAAACACTTTAATCCCCCCACCCCACCACCAGGGACAAAGTCAAGGCATCTACCTTTTCTATTCCTGGGTTTTGTCTGATTAACCCTGAAGCAGAGCACTAGGACAAGCCTGTCTACGTCCAAAATGAATCAGATCAGGCTTTTGGGAAAACACAATCCCAAACCAAAGGAAGTCCTGAGGAATTCTTAGCAGTCTGTCAAAACGGAGGGGATGGAGGAACAGATAAGGCCTCTTTCTCCCTGATACTCTGCGCTGGAAGAGTAGCGAACAAGGCAACTTCTAATCTGCATACAACACGGAGACTGATTTTTCAAGATTCCAAAGGAGGAGCAAAATGCGACCCAAGGATCAAATGGGGTTCAGAGAGCCCAACCTTGTAGGTGAATGAAGGGCCTTACAAGTGAAACCAGTTTCACTGACGCAGCTCTCTGGCCCTAGAAATCCAACGTGCAACCACTACAAATTTTTTCTGGCAAAACGAAAAGACAAACCTCCCTCAAATTTGGGAGTAAACAGTTAATGAATGAAAATACAAGGCAGGTTGTGATCATATTTAATAGCCTATAGGAAATACACAGAAAGGTGGTGGTCAGTGCCTGGAGTGGAAAAAGGTGGAGTCAGGGCCTGGCCTAACGCCCATGAATTAACAAAGCACTATGGGAAATGAATATTCACGTAGTAACTGACTTGGCACAAAAGTCTATAATCTTTTATAGTACATTCAATTAAAAAAGAAGGAATAGAATAGAATAGAATAGAATAGAATAGAATAGAATAGAATAGAATAGAATAGAATAGGGCAGCAGGCCCAGAGTTTCCCAGCCACCTTACTGTCACCACGTTGTGTGTATACAGACAGACAAGGGACTCGCCCTGTCACGGCTTCATTTTCTAGCATTTACTTATGGTTTCTAAGACAGGATTTTTCACCCAGCTGAATCAGACCTCAAGATAGTCTATATCTCAGCTGGTCAAGATGCTAAGGGAAGAAATCAGAACTACTTACAAGATTTTGTTTTGTAAGTTGGCCCTTTAAGTCTCTGAGAGAACCTTCTTGTGAGAGTCTGGCTCTGGGGATTAGCGACAGGACACTTATATTTGTACTGTCTTTTCTGCTGCCCCCTTTAAAGAAACCATTTGTTTTTAACCGTAGAGAAGTTTTCTCAGCCTACACACTTTATTAGTGATGAACTGAAGGAGGTAAGGAAATATTTCAGTATTTCCGACTCGGTTCAGTGTATCATACCACATTCCCAGTTCACAAAGTATGAGTCTGTGGATCTCAGTGCTCACACGGAGCTCAATATCCCACTATAATGCAGGAAGTAACGAACTTCTAGATATAAAAGCAGTGCTCTCCAGAAAAAATATTCTGACCAGGAGAGAAGATGCAGATTTCTGAGTCCTAGATGAGCTCTAGGAATGTCTCGATGAGTGATTGCCCTTGCTGAGAGAGTTGGGTCACCGCCGGGACCTAGGTGAACAGAAATAAACAGTGCCTTCTACGCACTTGAAAAGTAATCCTCTGGCCTTGCAAAAAAAAGTGGTACACTTATGAGTCATTCTCAACACATAACTAGAAGAAAATAAATGGCTTTTTTCCTTATTTACTCTAAAACCTAGTTTAAGAAGTGAGGATTCTATGACATTAACTAAGAGGTGCTGGGAAGGGAAAAATGGGATAGCATTTCCTAACAAAGTCCACTAATTTTCAGATTAGGAACATGCTAAACTGGCTAACTCTACAACCACGACATATTCTATAATACATGACGTGACTAGAAACACAGCAGCGTAGGCTTAGAATGAAAGTACGACTGCATATGGTGAGTCTTAAAGCATGTTTTAAAACAGATTTAACCAAAGCATACAGCACAAATACTCCTATAACAGCCACATCACAACCACCAATAAGATTTTTTTTTTTTTTTTTTTTTTTTTGTTTTTTTTTTTTTTTTTTTTTTTTTTTTGCTTCTAATTGGTCCGTCATATGCCAATATTTGTAAAGAGCCATTAAATGGCTTAAAAAACAAAGACATTTTCTTTTGGGAGACACAGCTAAAAGCCATGGATGCCTTTGAGCAGTTGGTAAAAATCATGCCAATCTGCCAGGCTGCTGCTTGCTTCTAAATATAAGCCTCGTGGCACTATGAAAGCTTTTCTAAGGATGCTGACCTAGAATTTAAGTTCTCATACACTTATGAAGTAACTCTGGTCTCCTCCCAAAGGATGCACCTTTTAGCAGGCCCAAGACAATGGAAACGAGCAATAGGATTCCAGGGATTCGAGAACAGTGGTTAGAAGATTGTTTAAGAGAATGGGATCTGAAGAATTCATACTTGCAGTTTTGTAGCCTGGAGAGACAAGGCCCGAGCCTGGCTCTGCAGACTGGTGGGCTTGGAATACGGCAGAGCAGGGTTCTCAACTTCAGCACTATTGATGTTTGGGGCTAGATCATTCTTTGTAAGGTGTCCTGTGCATGTAGGATGTGCAGCAGCATCCCTGCCTGGCCTCCACCTACTACATGCCAGTAGCACAACACCATACCCAGTTGTGACAACCAAATATGTCTCTTGACATAAGCCAGATGTCGTCAGGAGGCAAAGCTGGCCTTGGTTGAGAACCACTGCTGTAGAGAGCTCACTTGAGCCCCTCAGCACAGAGCACTTTTGGTCCGGGGCTCTGGAGAGAGGCTAAACCTCAGACTGAGGCCAAACAAGGTTCAGTTAAAGTTCATTTAGAACTTCTGAGAAGAAAAACAAGGATGGCAGTAAACCAAAAGTAGAAAAACAGTGAAGCAGAGTTTCTTTTCAAAAGATCAGTGATACTTCCATAAAACAAAGTAATTCATAAGCCTTCATTTGACCTTTCTATCCTTTAGGAAGTTAGGGCAGATAATAGAACATGGGATGTCATAAAAAATCCCCTTCCTAAAGAAAATGCAAGCCTTTGTGACTTTAAATCAAGCCCTTATCATGGATGGCAATCTTTGTGAGGTCGATAATTCATCGACCAGAAGAAAACAACAGTTAAAAGCTAAGAGAAGGCCTGTTAGATTTGAGAGGAAACTTCACCATTCCCTGTGCGAGCAGGAGGAGAATTATACATGCTAGAAATGCGGATTGTAGTTCACTAACAGCTCAACGAAAAGTCAGAATGGACAAAAGCCGAGGAGAGGATAAAAGAGCTACCTCAAAAACACTAGCTGAAAACACTGTAGATATTTTCTGGCTCAAATCTGGGAATGTACGAAAAGTATGTATTGACTCTTCATCAGTTAGGTTTACTTTGCTCTAGGTAGAAGGCAATTACTCTAGCCCTTCTTTGAAGAACCATCAGGAATAGAAATGTTCTGCAAACATCTGAGATCCCAGTGTTAGCAAGGATGAAAACATGGGAAACCAGCCCCTAGGTGACGACGAGCCTCAAATGCCACAGCATGGCAATGTGACTGCGCAGTTCCTAAGCGCACAGCACAGTGAGAAGTCTTTCCAGAGGAAAAAATGTAGTTTCTGGTTTGCAAGGGGGACTACAAGGTACAGATCTAGTATGAAAAAGAAGAGTTACACACTCTTTTAGAGTCATTAGTATCCAGGCAAAAACTGCTAAGGGTCCACGTCACTTATATAACTGAGCAGCTGCCTGGGAAAAGCCAGAATTCAGAGCTACTTGAACAGTACTAAACTGGTGAAAGAAACAAGATATAAAAAGAACCGAAGAGCATGCAAACTATTGGTTTGAATCAAATTGTTTCAATGATAGTACCCAGTTGAATTTCATTTTAGTGCCTATTACACTTATTAAAATTAAATAAAAAGCACCTTAAAATGACCTCTATATATAATCAACACACATCATTATAGTAGTTATATAAAAATGCAATATGCACACAATTTAAGATTCAAAGAAACTAAGAGTTCTTCTTTATAATCTTCATAATCATGAGAGCTAGGATTCTCAAAAGCATGAGGGAGGGGGAACAGTAACTCAGCACATTTCAATGACAGCTGACTTGATTCAGGGGCTGACACTCTCAGAATCCTGGGACAAGTAATAAATACTAGGACATTTCCTCTTTGGAGGGTGGGAGGGGACTTTTAAAAATATTATTGCTAAGAGACTACTTCCAAAAATCTAACACTCTTGATGGATGATGGTGTTGAGTGATTTCTGTCAAGGATGGCCCAGAGACATAGGGCTAAAACCTTTGTTGGCCAAAGGCCTTGGTGACACTTGAGAGTTGAAGGAGATCAAATGAGGGAACGATAAGTCCTATTCTGACTCCGTGTGTGTGTGTGTGTGTGTGTGCGCGCGCGCGCACGTGTGTGCAAGCACGCACGCGCAATATGGACAATCCCAGGAAGAAAAAATGGGTATAGCAATTTTCTCTACATCTAAAATTGCTTCAGGAGCCTTTTAAATATATTGGAAAGAGCAATATGAAAAAGAACATTTAGAAATAGAAATGCCACACATGTACCCACCCCCACCCCTACCCTGACCAAGAGTCTCCGGTACAGTGCACAGGACTCAGGAGCATAGAGCTGGTCTGCAAGATCTGCAGACAGGTGCCTCTTACAACCTTGCAACTAGGAATGTTCACTGGCAAATCTTTGGTCGACGCTCTACACCAATGCTAAGTAGAAGAGCACATCTTCTCGACAAAGACCCATGAGTAACTCCAGACCCGTTCTCCCTCAGGTGCAAGGAATGTCCCTGGACATGATGAGGAGCCAACGGTGTGAGCACGGAGGTGAGGCCCACTGGAGTTCTCACTGGCCTAGCCCACTTTCTCCCCATGTGGGTTTGGAAGGAGATGCTGCATCTCATCTGCTACCAAGGAGCACGTCTAGAGGCTACTGCTGGGGCCTAAAAGTTGAGCAAGGTTCCTACTGTTACAGTCACATATACCCACAATTCAACTCCCTTGATTAGAAGTTTAAGACTCACTTCATATTACAAATGTATAAAAATATGGCAGATAGTGTCATAATGATACTTTCTTTAAATGATTATATTTATAAAACAGACAGATATTTACCATATATATATATTTATATATAGAATAAAATACTCCTGATGCAATATATAAATGTTACTGTTTAGTTTTTATAGAAACTACTGTAGCTGTCCCACTGCTTCACAATGTTCCAAACAGCTCAAAATAACTTTACATTTAACATAAAAGGTATGATTATAACAGTACAATATTAATTAATTATAAATAAATGTTACAAATCCTATCAAATATGGAAGTTTAGAAAACAATTTAAGACATACAGTTAGTTCATCTGCTAACCCTTCAGAGGGATACTCCTGGATTACAATAAACCCCACATTTAGTCTAGGCAGAAAAAACCCTGTGTTTAGGGCATCGGTCAACACGGATTTTTCCATCCCTTGCAGTGCCAGCGCACGTCCTGGCTTTCTCAAGTTCAACAAGGATTGCCCTAAGCTGGAATGTAAGGGGGAGAAACTGGCAAGAATGTCTTCTTCCTCACTGGCACACCCCATCCATTCTCACACAAGAGCCATGGAGACTGGCGATCCCTAAGAAACTCCTGAAGCTCTAAGATCCCTGACTAGCATTGTGGCCGTGAGGAGCCGGACGGCTCCACACACACAATATTGCACACACCTTCATAAAGCTGAAAATACTGGCTTACTGCCCTGGCCCAGCCT